GTTGCTGTTAAGGAACTTAAATTAAGTTACCATAATGGGTATATATCGTAAATAATAGGGTTTCCCCCAATATAGTAACTTAATTTAAGTCCCTTAACAGCAACCCAGACTCTGCGAATATTTGTTCAGCATCATGTTAGCCACCTCCCGCAGGGAAGCAAGCTTTCTGCAATAAGTAAGGAATGCTGAAGGGAAGCATCACTGAAACGGTCCCTACTTAGAAAGATGCGTGCACTGCAAAGTTTCTGTTTTCATTTCCATTATCCCTATAAATCCCGAATAGAACCCCGATGTATACCCCTGTCTAACCCCAGTTACAATTTAATTTACATTTTCTTTGCAGTTGATTCTCCATTATCCCAAGATTGACCCGTAAACCCTAAACCCTGACCCCTAAACAATACCCCTAAACCCTAAACCCTAAACGCTCAAACCCCTAAACCCTAAGCCCTAATCCCACATTACATTTCTGCGGCACCACTGCCCACTGGCCTCCCTTGCTCTGTTGGCAGTGTTAAAGCTGTGGACAAACCGCGTTCGGAAGGCCTTCCACATCCAAGGGTTCCATATGAGCTATAGTCTAGACTCCTTAAAGGGAGTTATATAGCTACATGACAGGGTTTAGGGTTCAGGGTTTAAGGTCTTAACTCGCTAAAGGGGGGTCCTATAGGGGATTCTATAGGAGGCTACTACAGGGGTTATTATGGGGGATATTTGGAGTTTGGATTTATAGCTGGGGTATGGTTAGATGGGGATTATGTAAGGGAGTGAAGTAGGAAAGAAAATGAAAGCTACCGCATTTGGACCCTTCGCCTTCACTAAGTCATTCCGCGGCTTGTAGTTAATCGGATCCTTCTCCGTGCCCCTCTGCAAGCAGTCCCAAAACCTCAGCATTGCAACATGCAAGGCGATGCGTCCCTTCTTCATGCTGCCGCATTATGGGTTGCTGAGGAACCTAAATTAAGCTGCATAATTAGGAAGCCCTACAAGTTGCTGTATATACACATATATATATATATATCAGCCCTACAATTTGCTGTGTGTGTATATACATATATATTTTTCGGGTTTGCGGTAGCCCACTTGTAGATCCTCAACCGCCAACCAGGATTGGGTCTAGTTGCTCTTCCATCTGGCCCAGTGCCGGAGCATTTGGATGCACCTGGCGCTTGAAGTCTGCATGGGGAGACTGCAGGTGTCTGAATGGGCCTAGACATGATTAGCAATTATAAGTAATACATGTGAAATCTATTTGAGGTATCCTATACCACAAGTATATGAAGGGACCCTGAGACCATGACATTGGCAAATACTTGGGCCCCTGTATTAGAATCCTTGTGCGGCTGGGAACAGGCGCTTGTGATGACTTCAGTCTGTTCAATACCTAGCAGCTTAACAGAATAGGGCGACCCCAATATAGGTTTAGGGTTTAGACCTGAAAATACTGCCATCCTTATTGTGGGGACCCCCAAAACAGTACCCGTAATTTTGGGAACTCCCCCCTTCCATTCCCGCAACAGCCACTGCACAGCTATCAAGGTTGGCTTTGATTTGAGCTACAGTCTGAACTCCTGGTATCCCCCCTCAGTAACCCCTGGGTTTAAGGTTTAGGGTTCAGGGCTCCCCTACATAATCCCCCTTTAAATTTGGTTTAGACTCGAGCACATATTTGTTCCTCGCGACTTCTGCTGGTGAAAATCTAAAGAAAGCTCCTGCATGCAGCCTCACAGATGGAAGTTTCTTGAAGCCACCCTTGTAAATACTCCTTCATACAGTAGTTTCCCATAATAAGGGGACCCCAAAAAAACCCAAAATACTATAATCCTTATTATTGGGACCCCCAAAAAGGGTACCCCTAATTTTGGGTAACTCTCATACGGACCCCTATGTGCCTCTTAAAGGTGTTGCATTTTTTTTGAGGTTTTTACTCGGGACCCCCCAGTTTGAGAAACTCCCAGGGTTTAGGGTTTAGGGTTTAGTCCGAAGTCGGCCTGTGCGTCGGGAAACAGAGCAAACGACCAAGTGATTGTCAATGCAATCGGGTTCCCAGTGACGCCCACGTCCTTCTCCTGAGCTCTCCAGAAAAGGGATCCTAAACCCCAAACCCTAAACCCTAGGACATAATTACTGGGCGGAGATGCCTATAGGAGCCTCATCTCCTAAAGATATGTCCGCACCCCACCCTTCGAAGACGCCCTTATATGCCCGTCACATAACATGGTCCCCTGCCCTCTGTCTGCACATCCTCTGAAGATGCCATGAATTAAGGGTAATGTAAAGGTTTAGGGTTTGGGGTTTAGGGTTTAGGGTTTGCCGTGATGTTGCCGTGCAGGATGCGATGAT